TGCATTTGACGAGCTGAAGTCTTATCTTAGTTCACTACCTCTACTAACTAAGGCCATAGATGGAGACATTCTCTATTTGTATCTAGGAATTTCATATGAAGCCATTAGCTCGGTCCTGGTGAGAGAGGAAGCTAAATAGCAGAAGCCAATCTATTACATCAGCAGTGTGCTGCATAGAGCAAAGCTGAGGTATTCCATTGCTGAGAAAGTAGCTTTAGCAGTTGTCACTTCGGCCAGGAAGTTGAGGTCATATTTCCAGTCACACCCGATCGTTGTCCTTATAGACCAACCTCTTCGACTAATTAAATGGGCAGTGGAACTGGGGGAATTCGAGATAACATTTCAACAGAGATCTGCAATCCGAGCTCAGGCACTGGCAGATTTTATTGTAGAATGCACTCCATGTCATTTAACCCCCAATCCAGAGCCCAACGAGTGGACCTTATATGTTGATGGGGCATCTAGTAACAAAGGTTCAGGAGCTTGTGCTCTCTTGATTGGCCCAGATGGGTACCCAAGTGACCATGCCTTGAAGTTCAACTTCGATGCAACAAATAACGTGGCTGAGTATGAAGCTCTGCTACTTGGTTTACAACTAGCATTGGAGTTGAAAATCAGCGCAATCTAGGTGTACAGTGACTCCCAGCTGGTGGTGAATCAAATCAACTCAATCTGCGAAGTTGTCGATCCGGTGATGGTGAAGTATGTAGCCCTTGTGGCCGAGCTGAAGTGTAGATTTCAGAGGTTCTGTCTGAGCAAAATTCCCCGAGCTGAGAATGAACAGGTAGATTCACTTTTTAAATTTGCCTCGGATAGCTCTTTAAGTTTTAGATCAGTTTTTGTGGAGGTCTTAGATGCACCAAGCTTCACGAAGCCGCGGGTAATGGAGATCAGCACAGACCCCGACACGCCAAGCTGGACTGACTTCATTTTCTCCTTCCTACGAGACGGGGTAATACCTGAGGATAAGCAGGAGGCAATGAAGTTAAGGAAGAAAGCATCTCGGTATACACTTGTTGATGGGGTCCTCTATAAGAGATCTTTCTCACTCCCTCTTCTACGGTGCTTGAATCCCTATGAAGCAGAATATGCACTCAGGGAGGTGAATGAAGGTGTCTGCGGAAGTCACGTAGGTGCTCGAACTTTGGCTCATAAAGTCCTTAGACAGGGTTATTATTGGCCCAACATGTACAAGGATGCCACTTAGTTCGTACAGAGGTGTCAGAAATGTCAACTCTTCGCACATCTAATTCACCAGCCTGCAAAAGAGCTCACTACTCTGGTAGCACCTTGGCCATTCGCTTAGTGGGGTCTTGACCTTTTAGGCCCATTTATGAAGGGGGTAGAAGGTGTAACCCATCTCATTGTCGGTGTAGATTATTTCACAAAATGGGTTGAAGCTCGGGCATTATCCAGTCTTACCTCTAAGAAGGTCAAGGACTTTGTTTTCAGCTCGATTATTTGCAGATATGGGATCCCGAATCAGATTGTAGCTGATAATGGAACTCAGTTCAATTGCTCCTCATTTCGAGATTTCTGTTCCAGCTACGGGATTAAACTGCAGTTCACCTCGGTTTACCATCTGGAGTCCATCGGCATGGTCGAATCTGTTAACAAATGCATCTTAGAAGGTATAAAGCCGAGGTTGGAACAACACAAGGCCAAATGGGCAGACGAGCTCAACAACGTCCTCAAGGCATACAGAACTACAAGCCGAACTGCCACAGGTATTACTCTACACTTGGCCTATTTGATTAATTTTATATTACTTTACTTCTTCTGCTACGGTTCTACCTTAGAACAAATATGCATAACGCGTAAAGCGCATTCTAAAGTTATAATCAATTGAAATAGGTGAAACACCCTATCATCTGGCCTTTGGTACCAAAGCAGTCATTCCTATCGAGATAGGGGTCCCATGCTTCAGGGTCACCCATTTCGATGAAGGGCGAAATGGACAACTGCTTCGGGAGAACCTTGATCTGCTTAATGAAGCCAGAGAAGAAGCACGACTTCGAACTCTAGTCTACAAGCAGAAAATAGCAAACTTCTACAACAAACGAGTTCGACCCCGAACATTCAAAGTAGGAGAGTTTGTTCTCAGGAAAACTGGTCTAACGGGGTTCGAAACTCGATTTGGAAAGCTAGCACCAAACTGGGAAGGCCCCTACACTGTTGCAGAAGTGCCCCACTCAGGTGCTTATATTCTACAAGACACTGAGGGCAAAAGGGTTCCTAGAGTCTAGAATGCTAAGAACTTGAAGAAATTTTACCCTTAATACACTTCTTTCCAGTGAGCTTTGTCTTATTGATCACCATTATTCTGATTAATGTATATCGACACTCAATTCATTTACATCATTAATGAACTTCGCTTCACATTCGAAGTGATTCAGTCCTTTCATTGCGGCTTATTCAGCTACTTCATTTGTTGGGTTATGGTTTCATTACACTCACTTCCGAAGTGTTTTGCTTCATCTTTTGTCATTTCTGTATTTGAAGTCCGCCTCATATATGTATATATACCAGAGGTCAATTCCACTGCTGTTCATTTTATTGTGTTCGACGTCAGAACCTTGTGTTCAATAAAGTTACTTTGTTCGAAGTCATTCACTTAAAATAAATCAGCACTTTGAAACTAAAATTGCACACCAAGCATAACAATTCAAAGATTGTATAAAATTTTCAAACATCAATTACAAAAATGTTCTTTGCAAAAATAACTACAAAATGAGAAAACCTAAACTACTC